ATTCACATATTTGTTATTTATCAACCACAGAGGCTAGATAGATATCCTCTCATTCTAACAGTGAGAACAATGGATCTCAAGTACAGAGAAAGCATTATTTTACAATCAAAGTTATAAAAAAAATATTCTGAGTTAAAGAGAATACACATTGAATGAGTTCGTTATCTGACACATGACAAAATAATTTACAGAAATAATATAAATCAAACAAGCACACATACCCTAACAAACACACACACTGGTTTTCTGGTAGAAAAAACATTGACTTTAATGTTGTCTTTTGTAATCAACATTGGAAAAAGATAGTAGAGTATGATTTAATAGATATTTAGTGAAAAGTGTGGGTATCAAAGATATCAATTATCACCTTGCTGTCATCCAGGGGTAAAGGTGAAAGATACATTACTAGATGTACAAAGACTTGAAAACTCTTTATCTGAGGGCTTGTCTAGAAATATTTACTCTAAGACTTATTCTATTTAGCTGATAGGAAGATTATTTTAGCAATTCAAACATTCTATGAACATGTGTTGATTTTCTTTTATCTAGATTGAATTTGAACTCCATGACTTGATAAAGAATATTTGTAGCCACATGTATGCAGTCTAAGCGGACTTGAACTTGAAGGGCTATAAGGTGCCTCCAGTGTTTTCCTGTTTCCTCTCCACTGCCATCACATAAAGTGAAACTTTGAGGGACTACTCCCTACTTAACAATTTGTATGAAATTTTTTGCCATATAAATTTTTCAGTTAAAACAATAAATGGCTCTGTTCTTTTCAGTGCTCAATTATTACTGGATATGACATATTTGGGACACGATAGCAAAAGGCATGCTAAGCTGATTACTTTTTTCTCCTTCAAAATAGTTGTGCAAAAAAAATGGTAATATTCTCAGGTAAGTTGCACAATGAAAACATGCCAATTTAAAGCACACACAGATTTGTTTAATGATCTGGGTTAGCATTTTTTAAAAGTAAATGTAAAAGTCGGTAAAACCACCAGGACTTGTCCTAAAATGTTTCTTTATTATATAGGGCAATTCAGCTGTTCTGGAGGTCCTACGTTTGAATTACTATAACCCACTATCATCATCATAGGCCTCAGCAAAAATAGACACCAATATTTAGAAACATTTCTTTTCATAATAATAATAATGATAATTATATGTTGCATGAGTTTAAGAGAGATTAATTTATATGTTTTTTAAAAATAATCAAGATTATTAATTTTGCTAGTTATTATTTCAGGTGCATCTGGATATATTTGGCTGGGGCTGTTCTGTGTAGGAGGGTTGGAGGGCTGCTGAGACCATGATACCAAAGGCAATATTCAGTGCAAATAGCTACCAAGAAACCAATAGATGGTAAGCCAAGGGTAAATCTGCTTAATAATGGAAAATCCGCTAAGTAATGTAATGGGTGGGGAGTGCAAAGAGTAAACAAAGCCATATAATCTTTTCTCCACTTAAGATCATATATCTCATCATATTACACTTACCCAACTAGGATTTATTTAAGTTCAACTTTCTATGGCAAATAAGTACTATTAAAAGTCTAGCTGGATACTGCAGGTAAGAAATTTTAATACCTTATGACAAGCAATATATAAGCAATGTATAATGCACATTTGGCTATTTTACATTTTCTTCTAAAAGAATTATCCATCATCATAAGGTTGTGAGTTAACTTTGGTGTGTTTCATTAGTTCCCTCTGAAAAAATCTCCAGTTCTATTTTGAAATAATTTGAGGGTTTTTCCCCTGTGTGTTATGCTTCAGAATAATTTTATAGATCAGTTGAGGGAACTTTATTATAGGGTAGTAAATTGAGAGTTTTATCTAAGTATGAGCTCATTGGCTCCTTAAAGGTTTAGCTCTTACCTCTAGTTCCTACCTATAGTTGATTTGTTTTTTCTTTAGGTGACACACAAAGTAACAAATAAGATTTATGCCGATGTATAGTAAAGGCAAAAATGATTCTCAAGTGACCATTATGGTCTTTTAAGATAGCTCATGTATAAGGATTAAGATATCTTCCTTGGTGGGTATTTTATTTTCTTAATATTGTGTAATAGATTTTCTTGTAATTATATATTTTAATTTATATACTTTATTTATATGTATATATATCTCTAATAAGTTTTATGAAATTTCAAATTTATTAAAAAAAGAAATTTATAGTTTCAAGAAAATCCTATTGCAAAAGCAATAACCAATTTTGATAATGTAAATACTATGCTTGGTCCCTTTTGTACAGTAAAAGCACATCTTTTATTATAATTCTACAATAAAAATATTTGCATACTAGCTTCTTTTTATTGTTTTTTCTTTGAACTCACCTGATTTCATAAATATTTTAGTCATATTTTTACCTGTAATCTGTCAAAAATATTTTGAAAAGAGTAGGTGTTCAGTTATCTTAAGGTCAGAATAATGAAAATCACATTTTTAATTTTTGAAAAAAACTTTTTTATGACCTCCTTAAGCATTTATGGTCTATATAATATCTTTAGTTTTCTATTAAACTTAAGAATACAAACAATCTAAAATACAACCTCAATAGTTTGAGAAATTTCTTAATACTGGTCACATTACTGAGATATTTTTTAAAAAATCAAAAGTTTCTTTATGAGGTGGTACTGGTTTCCTTCATGAACATTGCGTATCACTTATGTTCAGATACTTCACACTCCAAACGAGTATTAAATATTGCGTTTTTAATGAAACTTCTATCTTTAGCACCATCCAACCCCCCAAAAACAGGAAGCAATCTCTATAGAGCTTTGAAACATTTTACCTGTGTCATTTCATCTAAAGGCATTTGTCACATTCTCTAGTTAGGAGAAGGAGAAGGAATTAAATGACAAATAGATTTTAAACAGTCTTTATTCTTATACTTGTATAAGAGTATGACACTATACTTGTTACTTGATCAAGGTCATTTTACTTATTTAAATATGTATTTATCTTATATATTTTACATATGATTACATAATTTACAGTAGCTAGTTATTCACATATATTTATATATAATTTATTATTTATTTTGTTGCATTAATACTCACAAAAGTCTCTTAAATTGCTTTTAATTTCTATTTTACAGATGAGAAAACATTATCATAAATGTTAAAGCACCGTAATGTTCAGCTAGGATTCCTTGGCCTAATTGATTCTAAACCCAAATTCATTTCATAATATCATGCTGACTTTAATACACTATGCTGATTTTTGTTAATGTATTTAGTTTTCTTATATGAGAAGTGAACCTTTGATTCCTTACTCATCTGTCAGGGAGTTCTGTACCTAGCAGGCACCTAATAAACACATATAAACTGAATGAAATATTGTATTTCAAACTTAATCTGGTTCCCTGCTAGTAAATAAAACAAATAAAATAAGAATGAATTGTGACCCATTGCCATTCTAATGAATCATGACAACTATTTTAAAGTCTCCTGGCAAGTGACTATGGGATAGGTTGACACCAGCGAGCAGAAATTTTGTACATACCATGAAATCTTACTACACAGAGCCTTGAATTGAAATCTCCCCTTGGAACTGTATGATTACTGTGATAACCTTTGAATAGTACTTTGTAAAAGTTCATAACTGTTTTAAGGAAGCAATCAATGTTTCACTACAGATTATTTTTGGTGATGGGGATCTCAGAAGAGACATCACTGCAAAGCATAGGATGTCTAATTTCAGCAAATTTATTATAACAAAGAAGAGTCATCTCTGCTTATTCACAGATTATGCATACACATGCACAATTTGCAGAGATTATTTTACTCAGGTGACTTGTCCTATATTATCCAGTGTGGGTTATACGAATTTATATTGTTCATTTTATGTTGTGTCAGCATGTTTGGGCAGTTCATGGTTTATTTAGATAGGTGCCTATAGTGATAAGGAGACATGATACATTGATGTGCCAATCTATCCTAGTGGTTAACACAGTAGGCTGTTGCAGCTCAAGAGCAAATTGGCCCTGGAATTAAAGAGCTACCACCAGTTCCTTTCTTATTCTGTTATATGAACTTGGCAAGTTACTTCTCTGAGGAATAGTTCCTTCTTTGGTGTGGGAATAATTATAGTATCTATCTCATTGGATCTTTTTTTAGTGAGAAATAAATGAAATTAACATGTAAAACACTTTGTACAATGTCTGACGCACATGGAATGCTTAGTTAATGCTAGCAGTTATGAAAGGCTGGGTCTTGATATAAGGTAGTCATTCACACAGGCTTGCTAGCTTTTGAGCAGCACCTCCCATAGGAGCATGTTTGAATAGCAATTCTCTTCAAAGAATTTCTATTCACTAATAACATCATCCATTATCTCTTGCATATACACTTGTACATAGTTTATTCATTTACTTGTAATTGTTTCCACAGTGATCATTAACATAAACTTTTTCTAAACACATTATTAGCATCATAATAAATATTACTCAGTATATTTATACTTCAAATTTTTATAAATATTCTTTGTAATAATCTTATCAATTAATAACCACTATTATAATAATGTTTGATTGTTACTAATGACATTATAAAATACAGTAAATACTGGAAAACCTATAGCATTAGCATCTCTACATTTCTGAGTAACTTCTGGCTCCATCTGAGGTTTACTTTGCCCAGGCCCAAGTGTAGAGTTGAAAGATACAACGGCTTTAAGTAATTTAATAGTAAGAATTTAACAATTATGGGATGCAAAGAAAGGGTTGAAGAACAAGTTTAAGAAAAGGATCAGAGAACAAGAATCACAACTAAAGTTAAAACAACAGGTTGAGAGGTAAGATACATATTACCCCTAAGCCTGTAATTATCATAATATATGGAACTACCAGGAGTAATATCATTTGGTAGAGAGAAGGATATTAAGAGTATCAATGGTTTGAATCAAAACTGAGAAGTAATTTACCTTTCCTTTTTCCCTGAAAAGCAGAAAAATCCATTTATGTCACATCTCATCAAATCTACATCAAGCCACATCATGTTAAACAAGAACATTCTGCTATTATCTCTTAAGATAAGTCTCCTAGGAACTGCTCTTGGTGGGAATGTTCTTATTTGGCCAATGGAAGGTAGTCATTGGTTAAATGTTAAGATAGTGATAGATGAGCTGATTAAAAAAGAACATAATGTGACTGTCCTAGTTGCCTCTGGTGCACTTTTCATCACGCCGACCTCTATCCCATCTCTGACATTTGAAATATACAAGGTGCGCTTCAGCAAAGAAAAAATAGAAGGAATTATCAAGGACTTTGTTTTGACATGGATGGAAAATAGACCATCTCCCTCAACCATCTGGAGATTCTATCGGGAGATAGCCGAAGTCATTAAGGACTTCCACATGGTGTCTAGAGAAATCTGTGATGGTGTTCTCAAAAACCAAAAGCTTATGGAAAAGTTGAAGAAAAGCAAATTTGATGTCCTACTGTCAGATCCAGTATTTCCTTGTGGTGACATAGTAGCTTTAAAACTGGAAATTCCATTTATATATTCCTTGAGGTTTTCTCCAGCCTCAACAGTGGAAAAACACTGTGGGAAGGTACCATACCCTCCTTCCTATGTTCCTGCTATTTTATCAGAACTCACGGACCAGATGTCTTTCACTGACAGAATAAGAAATTTCATCTCCTACCATCTACAGGACTACATGTTTGATACTCTTTGGAAATCGTGGGATTCCTACTATAGTAAAGCTTTGGGTATGTAGCAATTTTTATTTATTAGTATCTGAATTTGAACAAACGACTGTGTCTCACCTCTTTATTTCCCTAGGCTATTCTTTTTCAATCTTATATATTGATTACTATTACCATCATTTGATAAAGAAAGAAGGTAAAAGGCAATATGCTTTGAAACTACAAGGTGTTGTTTTATAATTTTATGGACTTGAAGATACCAACTAAATTATTTTATAGGTAACATATAGTGACAAACATCTTAGTCTAAAAATAAGATTTAGTTCTCATTTAGATTTTGCATTGAAAACAGAAATTGCCTAGAAAATTCAGTGGTGTTTGGAAAGAGCTGGAACAGTTTAACTTTTCTACAAGCCTATTGTTAAAATAAATGTTTGTCTGTGTGTGCATGTATATGTGTTTTTAAAGACAAACATGTATATGGATAACCTCTGATCATTGCTCATCTCATAAGTTTTGTACTATTTACTAGCTTTTCCTTAGATAAGGATGTAACATCTAAGAGTATGATGAAGTTCCTGGCTCCAAGGATTTCACAGTCAACCAGAGACATCAGATATAAAAAGGAATATTTGTAATATGAATTATGTGGGTAATGGAAATATTTAAAAAGAACAAAGATAGGATAAGGGAGTGGTGTTTGGTAATACTTCAGGGTTGAGGTGATGCACAGGAAACTTTTTAAATAATGAATATGAATTTTCCTGCAAACCAAGTGTAGAGAAACAGAGTGTCCAATGTTGTGGAGTCTCAAAATGACACCTGTGCTGATACAACTGATGATTCAAAGTATAATGATTCAAAGTTAAAATGTAAGGTAGGGAAGCACACGAAAGAATGTTGGAGATGTCAACATTATAAGAATGAATAACTTCAAAGAAAATGCCCAAAATATCTAGTATCTCATGTTAAACATCTTTTTTATCTAAAAATCAACTGGGAACAGGGATATATTATGACTAGATTGTACCTTGTACAAATATCTGGACAGATGTGGACCTAGAGTGCAGGAATATTAAGACTACAGGCTGCTGCATCACTCCAGGAAAGATGTGGTGAGAGCACATACCAGTGAAGATGCTTATAAATAGAGAAAAGTAATGCAAATGAGACTACATAGCAATGCAATTAGGAAAGCAGCCTCTTGATAAACAATTTCCACTTTCATCTCTTCTGGGTATGTTAAATAGTTGCCCCTAAATTCAAAAATAGATGTTTATCTCCTGGGATGTAAATGAAGACCTGATGGACTTCTGTCATTCACAAAGGAGACTACTGTAGCTACTACTATGATTATAAACCATCCTATGAAGATAGAAACGAATGGTTAAGCATTGATTGGCTAAAACTGGATCTTAAAATGAAGAAAGAGGATGAAGAAATGGCAATTTTATGAGGCAACCAAGCTGTGAAGATCTGGAAAAACTCTTTAATCTACTCATGCATGTCTTAAACTCAGCGACATCTGAGTATGTGCACCATCTCAGTTAATGAAATAAAGGAATGTATGTGGAGAGTCCCTTGGTCACAATATATGTTCACATTTTTATCTCATCGCTTATTTTTTATCAACTACTTATTCTCAACCTTGGGATAATAATTATCATGATCACAATGCTCCTTTTCATAATGGTGAGATTATTTCCCAGGTAAACCTTCCCCATGCTGGCAGTCTCAGAATCACATGTTCCATTGTGTTTTGCTTGTAAATTAATGCTGGTAATAAAAGCACACTATTCTCCCAGTCATAAGACATGAGACTAATCTTTCTTAACAATTTGTTCATGGGAATGTAATGCAGATTTCTAAAAATGTTCTTATCCTTTGATTTTGATGATATTATGTTTCTAATCAAATTACACTCCTCCGATTTAAAATGACTATTTAAGTTTGTCTTTACTAAAACACAATATTCTTATTGATGCCCAGAGACATGAACACTCATATTCAAATGACCAGGTAAGAAGTAAAAGTACTGACATGACAGAATAATTCATTTATTTGTGCAAGACTTTGTACATGTAGAAAGATAAATGAGAATGATAAATGGTACTAACTTCTTTTCAATATATAATTTGAATTTCCTTTACTTTAGCTTGAATGCACTAATCAAAGTCATTTCAATGTGTCCCTATACAGTCAGGTCTTAAACTGTCACACCTGAGTAAATAAATAGGACAACTTTCTGTAAAACTGCTTTTCTGCAGTGAAATGAAATAAGAACCTCAGAGTGAGTCCTTAATCTCTGCTAATTGCTAGGAATTGGATATTATAATGTCAAAATTGCTTTCAATTCAGGCTGTGAGTGTTTGGTTCAAACTCATTATGGTAATAGCATTTAACATTTGTTGATTTCTTTCTATGTAATAAACACTGTGGTAATTGCTTCACATATTATTACATCTCTAAATACTAGTAATGAACTTGTGAAGAAAAACTATTATCATAGAATTAGTTCCCAAAGGAAAATCTTTCTGACACCAAAGCTTCTAGAAAAAGTTTTCTCCCCTTTTAAAATTTCAGGTGCAAATCCATCATTATTCCAAATATTTTAGGATTAAACTTCCTTGGTTACTTTTTTCATGCTTTCGATGGATTTAGCTTTTGAAATCTGCTATTCTATTTCTTGATTATTTTTAATTTGCTGAGTAGGGCTTAATTGGGCCATGTTTTCACAGGTAAATTGCTATTTCTTTAGGCACAGGTCTGCATGTGACTCTGTTGCCTGGAGCAAGTGGCCTGAGGATAGGTTTCTGGTCCCAAGGGAGCTTCATAAGCAGCCTTTACCTGAAAAAAAGAAAAAAATCCTCCGCAGATTTCAAATATATTTGTTTAAAGTTGAACCAGGTAAATTTTGCTTTATACTCGTTATACTACCAAAAAAGCCTACCAAAATTGGGCTAACATTTAAGGAAAGAATAACATAGCCAGTAAAAATATTTATAATCCATAAAAATTACCTATTGCTCCTAACAGTTTTACCCTTTGGCCACTATAGAAACAAATAGGTTTTTTAATGACTGATCTTTATATATTAGATTTGTATAAATATGTAACATATTTTTATGTATGAATAAAAAGGTGAGGAATCTCTAAGAACTAATGCCATCTATAAGACTATTGTTATTGTTTCTGAAGTAAAAGTACTGACATGACAGAGTAATTCATTTTTTGTGCAAGACTTTGTACAGATCTTGCATAAAAATTTTTAATTATTACTTACTGATTAAATGAGCACATTACATTCAATAGGAAAAACAGATCTTTGAAAAACATTATGACCATAATACTCAGATATTTTCATAAACTAGACACTCATTGAGCACAGATAAGTAACATAAAATTAACTTCTATAAGTGAAACAAAATGTGTATATCTCTATAGTGCTTGAACTCCAGTAGTAATTTTAAAGGAGATAAAGAAAATGCACTGGGGTCCTTTCCCTGAGGAGTGATCCATGTTGGTTTGGATATTTTTCTTCTTTTTTTTTCTTCTTTCTTCCTAATTTTCTTTTTCCCATGTTCCTTCTTTCCTTCCTTTTTCCCTGCTTCCTCATCTTGGTTGGCTAGAATCTTTCAGATGACCTCACTGGCATCCCCTTTTCCACAACGGCCTGAGAGCCGGATGACAACTGTAGGCGTGATGTCCGAGGTGAATTTGCTGTGGCACATGCGCAATTTCCAGAGACAGCTATCACTCTTTTTTTGCTCCCACTCGATGAAAGGGAGGAGAGATGATGAATTTTATGGGTATAATCTTGAGTTTTATATGCATGCATTTCTTAAAATAAATCATTCGTGAACTTTAGTACTGAAAACATTGCTAATACCAGATCATTTGTGATGTGCCTTGAGACTGAACATGACTGACACTTGTGGAGGAAAATTAATGGTTTTGGGGAACATCTGCAGCAATGCTCAGGTGCCTCAAGGGCCACTGTCTGAGGAGTAGAAGAAAGGAAGTGGGTTTAAGTGATGCCATCTAGTTAACTTGTTCATTTTTTAAATTAGATTCCCTCCTTAAGATATCATATATGACTAAGATTTTTTTTAGCACAAATGCTAAATTTAAGGCATTGTTTCATTCAGGCCACATAACTTTAGGAAGTAAGTCATCATTCTACCCCTTTTTGTAATGAAGTGGCTGTGTAATGTGCCTGAGATTATGATCAAGAAAGTAGTAAAGCATTTGATGCTAGGCCCAGGGCTGAAAAGAAAGATTTAGAAAGATACCCAGTTTATGTGTAGCAAAATAAAGGAAAAAAAAAAAAGAAAGCACATCTAATTTTAAACTTTCAAAAGAATTAACTACATGCCATTCAAGGAATTCAAATAAAATTTAAGCACCGATGTGAAACTAAAACTTTGTGGTTAAGAAGTAAGTCTCAGTTTCCTAAAAAAAGTATGAAGGCTGGTTTCCAAGTTTTGTGGCCTCTGGGGCCACCACCAAATCTGAAAGACAATGAGAAATGATTCACCACAATTAAATTCTAGCCGTTCTTTGTAATGCTCAGGGAGACCTTCAAACCAAGGCATATCTTTAGGGGGAAAAAAATTGCAAGAATGAATTTCTGCACGATAATGTTGTTTGAAGGATTCTCAATTCAAACTGATAGCACTACATGTATTTTAAGAAACTTTAATACTAATTGAATTTTTACAGATGAACTAGGCACTTACCAGCAAGTGTTATATACTGTTAAACAACACAAATTCAGCCGTGTAAATATGAACATTTGACAGTATTAAATGATTTGTAAATTGGGCAAGCATCCCATTTAGCAAGTAGAGAAGAGCTCTGTCAAGCTGCAGAAAAGCAAAGGTTTTTAAAGGCAGAGAGGGAGCAGAAAAGAGCAAATTATTATCAAAAAATATATTGTTTAATCAAGCTTACCCTCCTAAAAGGAACAGAAGATTCTATCAGGGCATTCCCACCTAGCATTGATCAAGAAATTCCAATTCAGCTGGCTTAATGTTACATTCTAGGCAAGGCGGGGTAGAG